ACCCATAAATGTATATGCATAAGTTGGTCCCATTTTGGTTCCCCAAAACCACTGATCTGATAAAAAATTGTGACTTTAAATTCAAACGAGTTTACTCTACCAAGATGGTGCTATTTAAAGGCGTAACTTAATGGTGTACCATAATGATGTAATTTAAATGTGTAACTTAATGGTGTCAGTCAAAGGTTTAAGTTAATTATGTAATTCTAAGGTGTAATTTGAAGTTGGGAGTATATGGTGTAAGTTATAGGTGTAACTTAAAATGTGTAACTGAATGGAGAATTTTATGGTGTTATTTAAATATTTAATTTAATGGTGTGAATTAATTAGATAAATTAAAGGTATAACTTATTGGTGTAATTTTAAGGTGTAAATGAATGGTGTGATTTACTGGTGTAACTTAATGGGGTAATTTAAAGGTGTAACTTAATTTTATAAGTCAATGAAATAAATTAATTATGTAATTCTAAGGTGTAATTTATAGGTGTAGTTTAAATTTTGTAACTTTTTGGATTAATTTAATTAAGTAATTTAAAGGTTAAATTTAATGGTGTACTTAATGGTGAAAATTAATTAAGTAAATTATAGGTATAACTTAATGGTGTAATTTAAATGTATAAATGAATGGTGTGGTTTACAGGTGTAACTCGGTGGTGTAATTAAAAGGTTTAATTTTACGTCGTAACTTAATAATGTAACTTAATGATGTAAATTAATTGTTTATTTTAATTACATAATTTAAAGGTGTAATTTAAATGTGTAACTTAATGGTGTATTTTAATTGTGTTATTTAAAGGCGCAACTAAATTCTGTAATTTAATGGTGTAACTTAATTGTGTAACTTTAATGTGTATTTTAATGGTATAAGTCAAAGGTGTAACTTAATTATGTAATTCTAAGGTGTAATTTATAACTGTAATTTAAAATTTGTAACTTCATTGTGTAAGTTAATGGTTTAATTTAAAGGTTTAATTTAATTGTGTAACTTAATGATGTAAATTAATGAAGTAAATTAAAGGCATAAACTATTGTTGTAATTTTAAGGTGTAAATAAATGGTGTGATTTACAGGTGTAAACTTAATGGTGTAACTTAATTGTGTATTTTAAAGGTTTAATTTAATGTCGTAAATTAAAGATGTAACTTAATGGTGTAGCTAATTGTTGTAATTTAAAGGTATAATTTAATGATGTTATTTAAAGGTGTAACACAATGGTGTAACTTAATGGTGTAATTTAAAGGTGTAATATTATGGTATAATTTAACGGTGTAACTAAATGGTGTAATTTAAAGATGTACTTTAATGGTGCTATTTAAAGGTGTAACAGAGTGGTGTAACCTAATGGTGTTATTAAATGGTGCAATTTAAAGTTGTAACATAATGGTGTACTTTAAAGGGGAACAGAATGGTGTAAATAAATGGTGTAATTTAACTGTGTAAAATATGGTGTAATTTAAAGGTGTAACTTGATGGTGTAATTTAAACAACTAACTTGATGGTGTGATTTAAAGGTGTAACATAATGGGGTAAATTAATGGTGTAATTTACTGGTGTGCATTTATGGTGTAATTTAAATGGTTAATTTAATGGTGTAATTTAAAGGTGTATATTGATGTTGTAACTAAATAGTGTTATTTAAAGGTGTAATTTAAAGGTGTAATTTAAAGGTGTAATTTATAAGTGTAATTTATGGGTGTAACTTAAAGGTGTGTATCATATTTTGAGACATGTTCATGAGATAAATCTTGAAACAATAAAAATGCACACATTTTAAACATGTCACGTAGATATTTGGATTTTAATGTTTCAAATTTAAGTTCCCAACTGTCTACAATCAACGTGGGATAGATCAATTTTCCCTTCACAACATATTCTTCACACTTTCAAATTCTGCGGTGTAAAATTGAAATGGTGCTATTTTAGCATTCAATTCCAACCCCGAGTCAAAGGAGAGATCAGAAGACAGTACAATTCTGTTGGCGGACCAGGAAGTTATTTACTCAGTGATTCTCAAACATCAAGGCCAGATGATCAAATAGATGAATAACTCGTGATCTCATGAACTAAAGCCAAGGTTTGTAACTCCTGATGACGGGTGACCCTTTCCTTCTGATGTCCCATCGGTAACCTGTTCCTGTTCATCGTGCACTTCCGGAAGCTTGCCTTTCTCGCCATTTTGCGTGTTCTCGGCGACCACGTCCATCTCCAAATTGGTTTCCTGTGGGACGGCCCAGTCCTGCAACTCACCGTCTATCGGGATGAAGTTTGTGATGGCGCCAAAAGCCGCTATGGCCGAGCAGACGTAGAACACGCTCTTCCATTCCTCCGTTGTTTTCTGACTCAAATGGAAGGAATTAAATACAATAATCAAATATTGTACAGTCGCACATATAGGAGCAAGTGACATACAAAAGATACTTTGAAGTGGCTGGGTTTTTTTTTGTTACATAATTGTAACTAAGACCACCATTTGATTTCATCACTTTACTTGCATCAATCGTGTAGATAGTGTTCATGTGTCCTCGGGGGGCGTCCATAAGTGGGTCACGCCATTTTTGACAATTTTACCCCCCCCACCCTTTTTTTCCCTGCCTTCCGACTGCAACACTTTATAAAAAAAATCTTTGACCACCCCCCCCCCCTTTTAAAGAAAGTCACACTTCAAAAATATGCAATTTTTAAAAAAAAAGGATAATTCAAATTCAATCTAAAACACACTTCGCTATAAATATTGAATACACCTAAGTGAAATCTTCTGCCAGAACACATCCAGCACAATAAAAATTGAAACATCATTGTAAATGTTAGCTTTGATGCGTATGAGAAATATATTACTGTGGTATTTTTTTCACATATCACTATCCCCCCACCCCGTGTAAAATT